CTTTTCTTTCCAGTCCCACCCCTTTCTTCCCCGCCCCACCCTTTTCCTCCCCGCCAGTCCCTCTTCTTCCGGCCCCTCCTCACCATCTGTGTGATCTGCAGTCTACCCCTTTGGTTGTCATATTCATTACGTTCACTCTGCGCCGGAAGAAGAACCTGCGAACGCTTTTGGAAGTATGGCGGCCGTAGATATCCGAGGTAATCTGTGCTGTCACGTTTTGTTTCCTTACTGTTTGTGAACTGGGTTGGGGGTTTATAGCTCGCGAGAACCAGCCTTCAGTTCCTTCCTGAGGTCTCCCGAGCTCTTGTGAATGTTTTCTGGCGAAAGATTACCGGTTTTTCCTAGTTCCTGTAGAATCTCTGAAGTATCGACACGAAGGAATTGGAAGAAACTCTGGACTTTGAGCCCTCAGACCGGCAGTATTGCTCTACACACCTGCCTCTGTAACATCGTTCTGTATATTTTATCTGGGATGAAGGAATGGCCTTTGGGCAGAGAGAAGAGTAGCATAATCATCGGTCTTGATTTGTTTCATCCCTTGGGACTTAGCATGATGGCTGCGTTATTCTTGACTTTGCACCTATAGGTCCCTGGGTATGAATCCCTAGATTTTCTACTTTTTTCTTTTTTTTTTTGAGTCTGTAATACCTTCCATCGAATACCCAACAATTACTGAAGGCAGGGCCGTTTCTTTTCAACAGCTATTCTGTTGTTTTTAAGTGCCATAGAGTCGACTCCTACTCGTAGCGATCCTACGTACAACAGAAGAAACACTACCCGGTCCCCTGCCATCCTCAGAATCGTCTGTGCAGCCACTGTGTCATTCCATCTCATTGAGAGTCTTCCTCTTTTTCACTGACCCTCTACTTTACCAAGCATGATGTCCTTCTCCAGGGACTGGTCCCTCCTGATGACACATAGAGGTACTCAAATATTTGTTGAATCAATCAATAAATAAATGGAGATGGCAGTCCCTTAAGTAAGAGCATTGGTGGCACAGTGGTTAAGTATTGGCTGCTGAACTGCTAACTGAAAGATCAGCGGTTTGAACCCAACAGCCACTCTTTGGGAGAAAGATGTGGCCATCTTCTTCTGTAAAGATTACAGCCTTGGAAGCCCAGTGGGGCAGTTGTACCCTGTTCTATAGGGTTGCTCTGAGCCTGAATCATTTCCAAGGCAACCCCTTAATTGCTGCTACTTGATCTCAGGTTAGCATTAGGCCACACCTCACTTCCTCTCAGCACAGGTACACACACCCATTTCAGTGAATTTGTTGGGGGTGGGCGGGGAAGCCTGCGAATTGTGCTCTGGAATTCCAAAGAGAGAACAGAAGGGTGATTTTAAAAATAGCTGAAGGGTGAGAAACTTAATTCCAAACAGACCAGGTTGGCAGGAGGAGGTAATGGAAGTTCCAGAAAAAGTGAGACAGAGAGAGAGAGAGAGAGAGAATATCTATTTCTGACTATGGTGGTGGTTCCCACAGAACTTCATATACTTGTATAAAACTCTCAGCTGTAGAGACCATTATTAGCTTTATTTCCACTTGACACTTTGTGGTACTTTTTCTTAAATAACGTTTTGATTTTTGTATCTAAATGTAAGCTAAGATTTTTGGTTAAATAAACCCCTGCCCCTAGCCTATCAAAGAAAAGGAGTTTCGCCAAAAGATGTTTAACTGTGGCTATGTTCCTAATTGTTTCTACTTAGGGTTGTTTTGTTTGAATATACTTGCCTTTTAAAGGGAACTGTTTGAGATGCATTTTTCTTAATAAAATTGGGTCTAGCACCCTTATTAGAAATTCTTTCTCAAGTTACTCGAATACCCAGTGATCTTCAGCATTTCTGGATATTGTTTTTACGTGTTTGTCTTTCATTATAAGTGACAGATTCAAGTGCCTAGTTTCATCACTTGCTGATTGTTAGAGAGCTATACTTGGGCTGTGTTAACATGCTATTATGCTACTGAATGAAAAACAGAAACATTCCATCAAGCTATTTTCAGATATTCACCTTTCATAATACTTTTTATTTAGATTTGTTCGGTCAAAAGGCTCTTGTGTTAGAGAAACAGTAAGGAGGCCAGTATGACTGGAGTGGAGTGAGAAAGGAGGTGAGAAGGAGACGTCAGAGAGGTAACAGGTGACTAGATCTTAATAGGGATTGTAGGCCACTATAAGGTCTTTGAAAGAGCTCTGGTGGTGCAGTGGTTTAGTGCTTGGCTGCTAACTGGAAGGTCAGTGGTTCAAACCCATCAGCTGCTCCACAGGAGAAAGATGTGGCAGTCTGCTTCTGTAAAGATTTACTGCCTTGGAAACTTTATAGGGCAGTTCTACTCTGTCCTATAGGGTCGCTGTGAGTTGGAATTGACTGTCAGTTTTTTAATTCTACTCTAAAATATGAAATAATATGGCTGTAATTAAGGGAATTAAATGTTAAGTATTAAAAAGCAAAGATGTCACCTTGAAGACTAAGGTGCGTGTGCCTGACCCAGTGGTATTTTCAGTAACCTCATATGCACGTGAAAGTTGGACAGTGAATCAGGAAGATCAAAGAAGAATTGATGCCTTTGAATTATGGTGTTGGCGAAGAATATTGAATATACCACAGATTGCCAGAAGAACAAACAGATCTGTCTTAGAAGAAGTAGAGCCAGACTGCTCCTTAGAAGTGAAGATGGTGAGACTTTGTCTCACGTACTTTGGACATGTTATCAGAAGGGACCAGTCTCTGGAGAAGGACATTATGCTTGGTAAAGTCGAGGGTCATCGAAAAAGAGGAAGACCCTCAATGGGGTGGATTGACACAGTGGCTACAACAATGGGCTCAAACATAGCAATGATTGTGAGTATGGCACAGGATGGGCTGTGTTGCGTGCTTTTGTACATAGGGTCTGTAAGAGTCGGAACTGACTTGACAGCACCTAACAAGAGAATTCTGCTTCCCATTTGGCCCTTAAGTTTTACATCATTGTTATCCCTTGTCTTTAATGTAAGAGCTTCATAACTTATTTCTCTGACCCTAGTAGAGAGGTCCCAAACTGATGACTGTAGATGTATTTTCTTTGGCGTGTTTGAAAATTTTTGAATTAGTTATCAATGTATAAAAAGTATTTCCAGTTTTTCAAGAGAGCTTTCTAGATTTCAGCTCCTATCAAATCTTCACCTATGTCCAATTATTTTCTAAACATACAGTGGAATTTTGTATTTCCACATCTGCATATGCTTGGAATCACTCTGTCCTTCTTTTATCCATGGTGAAGCTCTTCACGCCCTGAAAAATCCCTACTCCCCAGGTATTCTGCGTCCTCTTCTATGCTCTTATAACACATTTATCCATACCATTATTACAGCACTTATCATATTGTGCTGTCATTGCTTTCTTGTGTATGTATCTCTTCTGTTAGACTGTGAGAGTGTAGGTTAGGGTCCACATCATCCTTATATTCATAGTGCCTGCTGTATTAGATGCATAATAAATGTTTGTTGGATTGAATTCTTTCTCTTTTCTCATCCTGTTTCATTTTGTTTTTCTCTTCTAGATAATCTGCTGGGAATTTCATGGGTTGACAGTACCTGGATCCCCATTTTGAACAGTGGTAGCGTCCTGGATTACTTCTCAGAAAGAAGTAATCCTTTTTATGACAGGACATGTAATAATGAAGTGGTCAAAATGCAGAGACTAACATTAGAACATTTAAAGTAAGTTGTTTTTAGAAGGTAGCATCCTTGCCAATTAGAATTTTACAGTGAACTATTCAATTTGTTGATCATGAAATTACAGAGTAGAGCTTTTGGAAGAAGAACTGGAGTTTGTTTGGATATATACAAAGATGACATGCAAAAGAGTTATCAGTAGTCACTTGTAACTTAGGAAGTCTTTTTCTACATAACTTCAAGTATTACTATCCAGTTGAATATAGCTGAGGTTAAAATGTGCATCTGACGAGTGATTTTAGCAATATAACTATTATTCTCAGCCAGGTAACTATACTTTTATTGTTGCCTCTACATCTAATTTAATGTCTTTTACCATAGTCTAGTTTATAGCAGGGTTATCCTTTGTATTACAAATAACCTCTTGCCATTAAGTCAATTCCAACTCATAGTGACCCTATAGGACAGAGCAGAACTGCCTCATAGGATTTCTAAGGAGTGGCTAAACTCTTAACCACTGTACCACCAGGGCTAATTTTAGGCAAACAAATGCAAAGCAAGATTCTTCAGATTTAGGATGCTAAATAATTAAGATGTTTTTCTATTACAAAAGTTTCTATCAGTTAAATACCAGAGAGGTTCAAGAAATTAAATTTCTGTGGTGTTTTAAATGACTTTTATGAGGCAAATATTTTATAACTATTAAGACAACTTATTCTTGCTTTTAATCATAGTATGTCAGATAAAAATTTTGTTGGGGCAAGGATAAGGTTTTTGATGTTCTCTAGTTGGGGATAAAATGTAGGGTCTTTATGCATATTTGTATATTTTATATATATTAATCTTCTTGGTCAAGATGCATCATGGTATTTAGGCTGCTTTTTTGAAATGGACACTCTTTAATACATTTTCACAACTGAAAATATTCAGATTTCAGTTGATGATGAATTTTTGTGGAGAAATTTTGTTGTAATCTTGTTTTATCTATATACCACCTCCCTGGGAAAATAGGCAGTTTTAACAAATAGCCAGTTTTTAACAGCAAACATAAAAAAATCTGTCTCCGTCCAGTCGATTCTGACTCATAGTGACCCTGTAGAACAGAGTAGGACTGCCCCATAGTTTCCAAGGCTGAAATCTTTATAGAAGCAGACTGCCACATCTTTCTCCCACGGAGCAGCTGGTGGGTTTGATCCGTTGACCTTTTGGTTACTAGCTAAGCACTTAACCACTGCATCACCAGGGCTCCTTAACAGCAAAGACAGGCAGTTTTAATGCTATTTACAATATTGCTACACTTTTATATACAAGCAGTCCCCAGGTTATGAACGTCTGACTTACATAAAACCCGTAGTTATGAACCTTAAAGAAAGCACTTTCCTGCTTGGTTGTCCTGGGTGGAAAAAGCTTTCAAGTCAGCCAGCTATGAGTTTGAATTCCAAAGCCTCCACTCATTTGCTGTGGTGCCTTGGGCAGACCATATCTGCCTCTCGGGGCCTCATTTGTCCCACCTGAAAAGTGAGGTAATCCTTCTTGCCCAGCAGCAGCACACCTGAGGCCCCTGACCCCAGCTTACCCAACGCCCCTGACGCCAGCTCTTGCCCCAGCCTGCGCTCACCAGTGATGATGATCTGTATGAGGAAGGTGTTCCCGGGGCAGTCTACCAGTGTGACCTGGAGCTGCAGCTCCGTAGGCTTGGGTGTGGCCTCGGATGCTACTTGGGGCATGGGCAGCACCAGCTGCAGGTGAGTGAGAAGCAGAGAAAAACAGGAGAAGCCCAGGTCGAGTGTGACACTGTGCTCGCAGTAGTGGAGGCGGTGGTGTTCAGCTCAGCACCAGCGCCATCTTGCCACTGTCACTGTAGCCCAGCATACCCACATTCATATTCGGCTGCTGCTCAGCCATGCCCCTGTAAAGCCTATTACATTAAAAATTCAAAGTACATACAATGGTTCATAATAACAGATGGGTACTATGTGGCAAGTATCAAAACGTTATTATTGCTGTATTATTATGTTAAAGATGTTTTAGTGTATCTGGAAATGTTTCTTTAATGTTTTTTATGCATAGAAATGTACACTATATACTAAGACAAACATTTGACTGATGTTAGATATGAATGGTACCTAACTGTTTGGACTTATGTACAAGTAAAGACTGACTTAGGAATGGAACTTGTTCATAATCTTGGGACTGCCTATAGTAATTTGAATGTTCTATAGAATTGTTTGTAGGGCATTCATAGATCTCTGGATGTCTGTGTTCTCTTTTCAGTCAGATGGTTGGTGTGGAATACATCCTTTTGCATGCTCAAGAGCCCATTCTTTTTATTATTCGGAAGCAACAGCGGCAGTCCCCTACGCAAGGTAAAATGTGTAAACTTCAGGCATTATTTTCTTCTTAAAAATATTACTACTTACTTTCTACCTGTATGTTCATATTTTTTTACTGGGTTCTCTTTTGGGGGTCCCCAAAGCCATATGCATGTTTGGTGCCTTGCTAGAAGTACTCACTGGACTCAGCATATAGTTGCAGTCATGGCTAAGATTTGTTATGGCAACACAATAGGGATACACAGACAGATTGGCAAGGGAAAAAAACATCAGATGGGTTCTATAGGAATTCTTATGCCTTCCCACCCATGAGGGACCACACCAAGCATACCCTCCTTCTAACAGTGACATGCAGCCACACGTGTGCAATGTGTCTGCCTGGGGAAGTCTGTTTGAGCATCTGAGTCCAGGGTTATAATTGAGGGCTAATCGTATATGAGGGTAAGGTAAAAAGTATTGCTATAAAATCGTAGAAACCTTTATTAAACAAAAATACCAAAATATGAAACTATTGTTTCTTGACATATCCTCCATCTAGGTCTATACACTTCTGAAGGTGGCATTTCCATCTCTCTAACCCCTCCCCGGAGAATTCTGCACTCTTCAATTTATACTACGTCAAAACGGCAGTTTTGGCATCCTCGAGGGACTCAGATTGTGTTCCTGTTAAATGTTCTTTGAGTTTCGGGAACAAAAAGAAGTCTGAAGGGGCAAGATCAGAGCTGTAGGGTAGATGGGATAAGGTTTCCCAACAGTATTCTCATAGGACGGTCGTTGCTACCCTCAAGGAATGAGCAGGTGCATTGTCATGATGGAAAAAAAATTCCTTAGTGCAACTTTCCTGGCCTTTTTTTCACCAGTGCAGTTTTCAGTTTTCTTAAAACTTCTCTACAATAAGCCCCGATGATCGTCCTGTGTCTTTCGAGAAAATCTATCAAGATTACCCCATAGGAATCTGAAAACACAGTCACCATAAGTTTTGGAGTGGTCTTCCCTCTCTTGTTCAGCTTTGAGGCCTTCCCGACCTTCCTTAAAATGCTTAATTCACCTGAAAATGTTGTTTTATGTGGGACAGCATCCCCATAAACTTGTTGCAAAGCTTCAGTGATTTGGAAAGATGTTCACTTGAGTTTTGTTAAAAATTTGTTATTGGCCCTGACATAAAAATCATTTTTTTCCATGGCACAAAAAGCATCCTTTTTTTTGAAGGCACCTTAATGAGACTAAGACAAGTGTATTACCGAGAAAAGTTGTCTGCAGCCGTCCCCTGATCATAGAGACATATTTAAACACATTTGTTTGGAATAAACCCGTGCATGTATGAACTGGAGCCCTAGTAGCAGTACTTTTATATACTTACCTGGTGTATATCCTCTCTCTCTTAAAATTGCAGACTCCTAGAAGGAAAGTACATGTCCAGCATAAATCACATTGTTTGTAAAAGTCGTTTAGGCAGGCTGGCTCAGCAGGCATAACCGTATCATTTAGGGAATGTTTCAAAAGCCAGATTCCACAGATGCATGCTTGGACACCAGGACTCTTTTTCAGCATTCTCCAGGACAACTCTCCAAGCAGTGACAACTCACTATATCAAAGCCACCTCTTTCTATGAGCGCAGTTGGGCTTCTGACTGAACCTTGAGTATCCTGAGTATCTTTTCTTCTCGTCTCAGTCCCGAGTCTAATTTTGTTACAAAATGAGATTATAGCTACAAGTAGTAGGTGTAGTTGCATCAAATTCACAGAGAATCAACTGAAAATCCTCATATATTCAGCCAGAAGCCTTACCTGGTGTCTTGGTTATCTAGTGCTGCTATAACAGAAATACGACAAGTGGATGACTTTACAAAGAGAAATTTTTTCTCTCACAGTCTAGGAGGCTAGAAGTCCAAATGCAGGGCACCAGCTCCAGGGGAAGGCTTTCTCTCTCTCTTCATTCTGGGGGAAGGTCCTTGTCATCAATCCTCCCCTGGACAGGATCTTCTCAGCACAGGGACCTAGGTCCAAAGGACGTACAGCTCCTGGCACTTCTTTCTTGGTGGTATGAGGTCCCCTGTCTCTCTGTTCACTTCTCTCTTTTATATCTCAAAATAGATTGACTTAAGACACAAGCTGATCTTGTAGATTGAGTCCTGCCTTGTTAACATAATTGCCTCTAATCTTGCCTCATTAACATCATAGAGGTAGAATTTACAACACATAAGAAAATCACACAATACTGGGAATCATGTTGTACCCAAGTTGACACACATTTTTGGGGGATACAATTCAATCCATAACAGTCTACCCTTTGGCCCCCCAAAATTCATGTCCTTGCCCCATGTAAGACACATTCACCCCATCATATCATAGCAAAAGTCTTAAATCATCTCCAAGTCTCAAAATCCATAAATTCCTCTTTATCTGTGAAATCTAGAATACAGGCTGTTTGGTTCCAAAATACAATGGTGGAACAGGCATGATTGGGTGGCCCCATTCTCCTAGTCCATCTGAGTGGCACCTCCACCCTTTGAGACCCCAGAGGTCCTGGCCCTACCCTTTGAGACTGGCAGCTCTGCTTCCTGTGTTCATTGTCTCTTCAGCTTCTGCTTCCTGGATCATTGTCCTCTTAGCCCTTCCCATCTCATCGCCTGCTTCTGCCCTGCTAGGGTAAGTGTTCCAGAGCTCTTTAGCTCCACCAATAAGTGTCTGGAGGCACCCCACTTCACCAGTAAACTTAGGCCAGAAGGCACTCAGCTCTCTTGCTCCTGGGTCAGCAAGCCTAGCTCCACCGATAACTACCCAAAGTCACCCTACTCTGCCAGGAAGCCTCCTGCACAAAGGTGCTCAGTTCTCTTGCTCCGTGGATCAACTGCAGTGCTCTCTCAGATGCTAGTCTCCTGGTTCTGCTGCTGCCATTTCTCTGCTGCTGTACTCAACCATCTGTGTCTTCTCCAGTGTAACAGCTCTCTGTCCTCACTTCTTTTGAGTCCTCATAAGAATTGTCTTAGATGTCCATAATTCCACCAATAGTCTGTTCAGGGCAATCTAGACTTTTACTATTTAGGCACTTTAAAACCCTTCCAGCCTCTATCTGTTCACAGTTTCAAAACCGCTTCCACGTTTTAGGTATCTGTTAGAACAGCGCCCCCTCTTCCAGTACCACATCTGGGGGTCCCTGCACTGAGAAGCTCCTTGTCCAGGGGGAAGATTGATGATAAAGACCTTCCCCCAGAACTGACAGATAACCTTCCGCTGGAGCTGGTGCCCTGAATTTGGACTTCTAGCCTCCTAGACTGTGAGAGAATAAATTTCTCTTTTGTTAAAGCCGTCCACTTGTGGTGTTTCTGTTATAGTAGCACTAGTTAAGCAAGACACCTGGGTTATACCAAATAAAAACTTGCTTTAGAAGTCAACAGTGATGCGTATAGAATCCACATTTGGTTTTAAAGCAGAGTTAGACATTTAGTCTAGACAAGTCCAGAACTTGAAGAGGACTTAGGGCAAAGCTAAGATCATGGCCAACATCACACTGATGAGAAGATTCAAGGTCGAGAAGCCAGACACCTCCTAATTAGATACTCTCATCTAGACATCTAGAACAACCGTTGCCCTTGTATTGATTCTAGAGAATGACTTGCTAAAGAAATCGTGGTTCTAGATCGCAGAATCCAAATTTGGTTTCAAAATTGAAGACCTAGAGTCTTTGCCCAGAGGGGGGGAAAAAAAAAACAGAACAAAGCCAAGACCAGGAACAAGATCTCCATGATGAGAGAGTTCCAGGCATAGAAGCTACACAAGATGGCATCAGCTTCACTAACACCTGTCTTATTTCTTACGAGCCGGGACATCTGAATTCAGTGCATCTGATATCTTCATCCTGGGCCCCAAATATCTTCATTCTTCCTGGAAATTCACCCTTTGTATGGTCTGCAAGCTGATCTTTCTTGAGATGGTAAACAAGACTCCAGGAGCCAGATAGGCTAGAAGCACTGCAGGAGGCACCCTGCAGCCCTACTGACCCAGCCTGGCTCTAGAGTTTAGCAGAGCTGTAGGACAGTGAAAATAAAATTAATGCACACATATAAAACAAAAACCAGTTCCCATACTTAGCCAAGGACTAACCTTGCAAGCAGACCTTTTTAAAGAATAGCCTCAGGCCGGCTGTGTTACCTCCTTCCTGCACAGGTTTATTGCTAAATATGTATAAATGTTCTCTCTATAATATAATTTAGTTTCCTGAAACTAGTCATTAGGTGTGGCATCAGTTAGGTTAAAAGAAGGGAGGAAGGATGGTTTCCTCTTGTGGCAAATCTCTTGACTTGCAAGGCACAAATACTTTATGATTAGAACCTGTGGGGATCGCTGACAAGAATGTATATTTGTCATATAATGAGATATAAAGTTTGGTTCGAATTGGTGCTTTGAAATGTAAAATTTTAGACTTGGCTGTTTGGTCTTTTTCAAAGCTAGAACTAAACTTAATAGGTCTTTAGTCATCTTGTGGTATGAACTGGCATACTCATAGACTGTAGAAACGTACTTTTTGTGTAATCAAAAACAGTTCACTTTCCAAATGCAGCATGACCCCTGCTCAGCTTTTCTGTAAAGCTAAAACTGTTCTTTAAAAAGCCTGTTAATGTATACATTAAAAAATAATGCAAGCAGAATAATTTTTGTCATTTTCGTGTATTTAAATAAGCTTAGCCTTATTCTATCTCTAGTACTGTGTCAGTGGTATTTTTCTGAAGAATCTTCATCTTCTGCAACTGCATTTGTTAAATTGTTATCTTTAACCAGTCTTTTAAAATTAGCTATTAACAAAATAACTTCAGGAAAAAAATGCAACACGACTAAAACCAAATGTAGATTAGATTGTTTATATCCAGTACTGTTATAAAATGTATAGCAAAATAAATAAAAGATGTGATTGCTGTTCTTAAGCTTATTATCTGTATCAGCAATTGTACAATAGAAATATAATGTAATATATATAATTTAAATTTTTTAGTAGTCTCATTTAAAAACAGTGAGAAGGTGATCTTTTGATATGTATTTTATTTTTTCTAATATAAAAATAGTGAAATGTTTTATATATTTTTTTGAAATCTGGTATTTTATACTACATATCTCGATTCAATCTAATGACATTTCAAGTGATCAGTAAGTACATGTCGCTGGTAGCTACTGTATGGGACAGCACAGATCTAGAAGATTAGGCAGAATGATTACAGTGTGACCTGCCCTGGGGTACTATGTCAGGTCCTGGTTCCATATTTGAGAAGGACGTTGATAAACTAGAATGTATTCAGAGGAGGGCTATCATGATGGGTTGAGAGGTGTAGAATGAATCTATTTTCATGTAAAATGATTGAGGGACTAGGGATGTTGGCTTAGAGAAGAACATACTTTGTAATTTAAAATCAGTATCAAATGCAGTATGTCAAAGGCAAATATGGAGAGACTTTTTATGGTAGAGTAACATCCAGGACCAGGGAATGGAAGTTAGAGTGAAGATTTAGGCTTAACCTAAGGAAGCATTTAGAATAATTAGAGCTTTCCAACAGTGTGCGTTGTGTTGCTGCTTTGAAAAGTGAGTTTCCATCTCTGGAAGTAAACTTGTAGACTGAATAACTATCTCTCAGAGATTTAGTAGAGATCATTCATTTGTATAGGGAGGTGGGCTAGTCCTAAGATTGCATAACTGTACTTACATAATTACAAGTAATTATCTGCAATTATTATAGAAATAGTTACTAACATTAAATGCCTAATGTATTTATAAGGAACCCTGGTGGCACAGTGGTTAAGTGCTTGGCTGCTAACTGAAAGCTCAGCAGTTCAAGCCCACTAGCCACTCCACAGGACAAAGATGTGATAGTCTGCTTCTGTAAAGAACCCCTATGGAGCAGTTCTGCTCTATTCTGTAGGGTCTCTATGAGTCAGAATCAGCTTGATGACAGTGGGTTTTTAATGTGTTTATATTAGGCATTTTGGTTTTATTTTACTTAATCTTTGCTACTTACCTATGGAATTGGTGTTATTTCCATTTTGCAGAGGATATTGAGGCCCAGATAGGCTGCAGCACTAGGGAAATACAGAACTAAGGTTCTAATCAGATCTTATTCTAAAATTCGTGCTCTTAACCATTCTATTCTACTACTTCAGTTCTCAAAACTCAGCTAAACTACACATCTATAAATGGCTCTCAAACTCCTGTCACTTTCTTAGGGCTTTTGTGAATTGCTTAATCTCTCTAAATTGTTCCCTTCTCTCACCCTTTCGTAGTGCTTTCCACACTCATTTTACTCTTAGACTGCCTTCTGCCAACTTAAAAAGTTATCTTCCCTATAGACCCCTTGTGGCTTAACAGGAAAATGCGGCCACCCAGAGCCCTGGAGGCTTGAGTTAATTTAAAACAACTTCCTTGAGTACTCATCACTAGTCACCATCTTCAAATAGACTGATTAATTTAGGAAAGCTATTCCTCCCATAATGATTCTTTCATAAGTAACTGTAATTACATTTTATTGTTATAAAAGGAGTGCAAGCTTATTGTAGAGTTTATAAAATAAAAAATATTAATTCCCCAGTGTGTCATTTAGAGATGATTACTATTGACATTTCACTAAGAAAGTTTATTTCATAATTTGTTTTGTGCACGTATTTTTCTGTATGGATTTAGAGCCAAGTTTTTTATGGGGCCTTGGTGGTGCAGTGGTTAAGAGTTTGGCTGCTAACCAAAAGGTCGGCAGTTCGAATTCACCGGCCGTTCCTTGGGAAACCTATGGGGTAGTTCTACTCTGTCCTGTAGGGTTGCTGTGAGTCGAAATCGACTCAACGGCAATGGGTTTTGATATTTAATGTTATTTTACAAGCATGTTCTCTTGTCATTAAATACTTTCAGAAATTTTTTTAATGTCATTGTAATATTATCCATTCAACAAATAGTTTTTAACAGCAAACATTAAAAGAAAAAACAAAAAACCCTGTTGTCATCAAGTCAATTCTGACTCATAGCGACCCTATAGAACAGAGTACAACTGCCCCGTAGGGTTTCCAAGGCTGTAAATCTTTATGGAAGCAGACTGCCACATCTTTCTCCCATGGAGCAGCTGGTGGATTCAAACTACCAACCTTTTAGTTGGCAGCCCAGCGCTTAAAGCAGCCATACATAGTAGTAAATAAGTGGGTGTGGCTGTATTCAAATAAAACTTTATTTACAAAAGACAGGCATTGCCGAACACTGCTCTAAGATTTAATATGGAAGAATATCAAATTTTAGTTAAGTCTATTTAGCAGTTTGTTTCTGTAGCTGGATTCATGAACATTTTTTCCCCACTGTTGTAGTTATCCCACTAGCAGATTACTATATCATTGCTGGAGTGATTTATCAGGCACCAGACTTGGGATCAGTTATAAATTCCAGAGTGGTAAGTGTCTTTGTATTTTTTAAACACTAAAGAAGACTTTTAATTGTGCTACCTTGTTTCCAGGAATCAAACAAGAACTCCCTTCCCTTGTGTAAGTTGATACAAAGTGTTGACTATTTGAATGTGTTGAACACTGTTTATTGTCGACCAGTTCCCAGCTATATAACAATTTAGGTTCTTAAAAACAGGAAATTATTATCTATGCATATGTAATATTTTGAGGGTATTTACTTGGGAAATTTTGGTTAACCTAATGAGAAATTCAGAATTTGTTTTCTTTTTACAAGCTTACTGCAGTTCATGGCATTCAGTCAGCTTTTGATGAAGCTATGTCATACTGTCGATATCATCCCTCCAAAGGGTATTGGTGGCATTTCAAAGATCACGAAGAGCAAGGTAGGTAAGACACCTAAAACCAGAAAAACCAAACCCGTTGCCATTAAGTTGATTGCTGACCTTCGGTTAACAGCTGAGTGCTTAACTACTGCACCACCAGTGCTCCTTGGTAAGACACCTATTGTTATAGGTGCCATCATGTCAGTTCCAGCTCACAGCGACCCTGTGTACAACAGAATGAAACACTGCCTGGTCTTGCACCATCTGCGCCATTGTTGCTGTGTTTGAGCCCATTGTTGCAGCCACTGTTTCAACCCATCTTTTTGAGGGACTTCCTCTTTTTCACTGACCCTTTTCTTTGCCAAGCATTATGTCCTTCTCCAGGTACTGGTCCCTCCTGATACGGTGTCCAAAGTCCATGAGACAAAGTGTTGCCATCCTCGCTTCTGAGGAGCATTCTGGCTGTACTTCTAAGACAGATTTGTTTGTTCTTCTGACAGTCCATGGTACATTCAATATTCTTTGGTCTTCCTTATTCATTCTCCGGCTTTTGCATGCATGTGAGGCGATTGAAAATACCGTGGCTTAGGTCAGACGTACCCTAGTCCTCAAAGTGACATCTTTGCTTTTTAACACCTTAAAGAGGTCTTTTGCAGCAGATTTGCCCAGTGTAATATGTCGTTTGATTTCTTGACTGCTGCTTCCATGGACGTTGATTGTGGATCCAGGTAAAATGAAATCCTTGACAACTTCAGTGTTTTCTGTGTTTATCTTATCTTATTGGCCCAGTTGTGAGGATTTTTGTTTTCTTTTTGTTGAGGTGTAGTCCATACTGAAGACTGGTCTTTATCTTCATCAGTTTTATATGGAGAAGTGAAACACACCTAAGAGGGTCTAGGAGTTTACCGCCCCCTCACACCCCCCTAGACCCTCCTAGGAGTTTACCAAACCCCCCCTCCCACACCCCTAGACCCTCCTAAGAGTTTACCCCCACCCCCACACAAACCTAGACCCTCCTAAAACATTTTTGATCCTCTGAAAGTGAAATTGTTTTCTTTAGGAAAATAACTCATGTTTCCTAAGTGTGTTTTACTTCTCCATAGAAACTCTTTATAGATAATGACATTGTTGCAGCTGCAATTCATGTAACTAGATGTGGTAATAATCACTTTCACATAGGAACATATATAGAGTTTAATGTGTTAGGTAACTGGTAATCTGTGTCAAGGATTTTGTTCTACTTGGGTCAATAATCAATGCCCATGGAAGCAGCAGTCAAGAAATCAAACGACGTATTACTTTAGGAAAATCTGCTGTAAAAGACCTCTTTAAAGTGTTAAAAAGCAAAGATGTCACTTTGATGACTGAGGTGCACCTGACCCATGCCATGGTATTTTCAGTTGCCTCATGTGCATGTGAGAGCTGGACAGTGAAAACAGAAGACAGAAGAATTTACACTTTCAAATTATGGTGTTGATGAAAAATATTCAATATACCGTGGACTGCTAGAAGAATGAACAAATCTGTCTTAGAGGAAGAACAACCAGATGCTCCTTAGAAGCGAGGATGGCGGGACCTCGTCTCACATACATTGGACATGTCATCAAGAGAGACCCAATCGCTAGAAAAGTATGTAATGTTTGGTAAAGTGGATGGTCAATGAAAACGAGGGAAACCCTGCATGAGATGGATTGATGGATATGGTAGCTGCAACAGTGAGCTCAAACGTACCGAAGATTTGAGGAGGTGTAGGACCGGCCAACAGTTTGTTCTGCTATACGTAAGGTTGCCATGAGTCGAAGCCAACTTGATGGCAACTAACATCAATATCAATCTTTGTTAAGACGGGTCAAGGTTTTAAAATAATTAGAATACACAGAGGAGAAACACTGTTGAGGAATGAACAAAGATGATGTTTTCTACTTACCTAACTGTCGAGTCGTCTTTAAATCTGGAACCCTTTATCCCTCCATTCTTCAAAGTAGGGTAGATGGGGGTTTGCTCTTAGAGCCCTGTCCCCAGATGACCAGTCTGTTTTCTGATCCTTCCAAGTTATCACCTGTTGTGACTCCAGGTCTCTTAGTTTCCATGGCTTCTATTCTGCTACTTGTTCTTCACCATATTTTACCAATAAAACTACTTAAAGAAACTGTAGCACTAGCATCTTTCACTGAGAAATAGCAACTCAGAATAAATTTCTGAGGGGAAGATAGCCTTTACGTAGAATTCAGGCCTGTGTAATTTTATTCTTAATATTAACTAGCAACATTTGACGTGGAATGTTTGCCTTATTTGAATTAAATTGACCCAAGAGCTATTCATCCCTACACCGGTGAAATGTTCGAAGTAAAACCTATTTGTAAGCCTTTATTTAGAGAGATCCCCCCCCAGTACACCTTTCTCCTAGAGAAAATCCCATATGTGATTAATTTCTGAACTTTTGTTTGGTTCTTTTCTTTCTTATCTTCGTGGTCTTCTGTTGTTTTGTTTATCCTGTTTTTCCAGTGAATTATAGTCTTAGTAATTGAGTATGGTAACTTGAGTTTGTGGAGCTTGCATTGTCCGTTTGTACCTTGTAGGTTTTTTTTTTTTTTTTGGAAAAAGATCATTTAACACACTTAAATTGTACAAAAGTTAATTTCAAACCAATAATCTGAATTGCAATTTTAGGTAATTATGAGAAAGTTCAGCCTTAAAATTCTTGTCTGTCCATGCTTACATATGAAAAGTAAAGTATCTTTTAAAAACGTGTCAGTTTATTAAATGTTAGAATGTTAATTTCATTTAAGAGGGAGAGTTAGAACATTTCTTATATACGCTATGTTTAGCTTGTATGAGGGAATATCAGCCACTAAAAATAGTGTGGTTTGGATATGTCCGTGGTGAATATAAAAGATTTGTAAAAATATGACACTAATCATGCAGTGTTTTGATTTGGTCTTCATATTTTAATAGATAAAGTCAAACCCAAAGCCAAAAGGAAAGAAGAACCAAGCTCTATTTTCCAAAGACAACGTGTGGATGCTTTACTCTTGGACCTTAGACAAAAATTTCCACCCAGATTTGTGCAGGTAATGAGAATGTATGTGGTTAATTTTGATTTGACACTTTTCTGGAAACATGTTTATTTTTCATTGAGAACTGTTTCATGTGTGACCTAAACATTGACTCTTCTCATCAGTTGAAAAATGATTTCTAAATCAAAGGAAAAGAAGACAAGGGGTAAAGGGAATGAAATTAACACTGTTTTGTGCTTTTAAGACCTCAGTGCATCTTCACAGACAATTCTATTAGGACTGTATATAGATAATTTTCTCCCTCAAAAGCTTGCTGAAAGTGTCACAGGTAATGACAAAATTAGAATCTAACATATATGCTTTTTTACTGTACTTTCTACCTTCCAGCCGGTGTAGTAGATATATAAGGTCGTTAAATGATAAGATTATTTAAAACTTTTGTAACTGAAAAGAATAAAACATCTAGGGTAGAGGGTATGGTATGATAAACGGAGGAGGTAGGAGTAATAATAAATGGAGTTACATTATATTGATATTCAAGTTATATGAATTCCACTATGTGCTTTTGAGGGAGGTGTCCAACAACAATGGCAAATGCACCTGCCATTCTACTTAATGAACTTTTGAAGTTAAGCAGGTATGAGGTGGAATGTGTGAATATATTATTCTCATGGTTAGTCTCAGTTCTTATGGGCCTATACAGGACTGTGTACTCACACAGTCATATATACTGTTTTTTTGTTTGTTTTCACATGACCTATTTAAGGGATTTTAAGGATCATTTTAGATAAAATGAGAATTTTTCATATCTCGATATTATTGTTGAACAGGTCTCTCCTTACTCCTTCCCTGACTTCACTATGGTGAAGGATACATAGTGTTGGAATGGCCGTGTGGTGGTGAAGGGAGCAGAGGACACAGGTTGGATTGTAGGACAGGAGAGCCAATTTAGAGAAAACTCATGAATTGTACTTGAAGATAGAGCAGTGTCTGTTGAATAAATAATAAATAAATTATAGCTGTGTGTAGGTTGATGAGCCCCCACAGGACTATCAGTTTGTCATACTGTGGGGCTTACAAGTTGCTGTAATGCTGGAAGCTATGCCACTGGTATTCAAATGCCAACAGGGTCACCCATGGTTTCAGCTGAGCTTCCAGACTAAGATTAGGAAGGACCCGGCGAACTATTTCTGAAAAGAATTAGCGAATGAAAACCTTACGAATAGCAGCGGAAAATTGTCTGACACAGTGCTGAAAGATGAGCCCCTCAGGTCAGAAGGCACTCAAAATACCACTAGGGAGGAGCTGTCTCCTCAGCGTAGAGTTGACTTTAATGATGAGGATGGAGTCAAGCATTTGGGACCTTCATTTGCTGATGTAGCACAACTCAAAATGAGAAGAAACAGCTGCAAACATCCATTAATAATTGGAAGGTGAAATGTATGAATTATGAATCTAGGAAAACTGGAAATCATCCAAAATGAAATGGAATGCATAAACATTGATATCCTAGGCATTAGTGAGCTGAAATGGACTGGTATTGGCCATTTTGAATCAGACAATCATATGGTC